GGTTGTATTAGAGTCTGCACTTTTTTGGTTACTGTTATTGCAAGTTGTTTCGATGTTGGTATGAAAAAAAATGTTATTGCTGTTGAGAATATACACAGTGGAACACACACATGCAATTATTTCAAGAGGTACAACCCAGTGTCATTGAGAACATTTAAGTTGTACAAGCATTCTCATCCTCCTTTTCTCACCTGCTCTGTCCTCCTCCTTTCCTACCTGATCCTTCCTGTTGTTCAAGTGACTAGATCTTCAGAGAGCAGTGTTCAACACAGACATTGGTCACTAAACTAACACGCTGCTATCGAGCCAGTTCTGAGTCATCTATTGAACAGAACAGAACTACCTCTGCTGGTTCCCGAGACTAAATCTTTAGGAGAGTAGAAAGCCTCGTGTTTCCATCAGGGAGTGGTCAGTAGTTCAGAACTGCAGACCTTGCGGTTAGCAAGCCCACTACTCTTCCCGGGCTTCTTATCTTCTTCACGCAAACCAAAGCCAAACTCGGTGCATCAAGTTGATTGTGATGCACGGAGACCCTGTAGGACAGGGTAGAACTTTCCCGGTGGGTTTCCAAGACTGTAACTGTTTTAGGGAATCAAAAGCCTCATCTCTCTCACACAGAGCTGCTGATGGTTTCAAACTGCTGACCTTGCAGGTAGCAAGTCAATGCACAACCACTACACCACCAGGGCTCCTAATCATTTTTTACTGCTTAGGCTAAATTATTGTTTACTCTTTTAGAAAGACTTCAGGGGGTGTTTTTGGTTTCAGGTTGAAAGAGTACCTCAGGGCAATAGTTTCAGGGGCACAATCTGAATCTTCATCACATCCCCAGGTGATGTATCAGCACATTGAAACTTGAGTAGCACTGGGGTAAACTTTTTTTTCTGTCTTGGCTATGTGGCACAGAACACAGAGGAAAATGAAAGAAGCTTGCGAGTATAGTGCTTCTCAGGCCCTCATGGGGGGAAAATGCTTAAGGATGATAGGTGATAATTTTACATTTTTTATTTAAAATGGTGTGTATAGGATGTTGGACGAGTCCAAACAAGCATGTTGCTGGTGAAAAAGAAAAAAAAAGATAGCTGTGAGGTGCGACTGAATGTTTAACTGGAGTGTTACTTTGTGGGAGAAATTTTCAGACACCCCATTCATTATATGCCGTGGAAAACACCTCTTTGAAAGCTTATGAAATATAGTCATTTCCTGATTCACACCCTAACGCCAGGAATCTCCTCTGCGTTCCCCCCTCCTGCTAGTAGTCTCACTTAGGGAAGGCCATGGACTTTCGTGGAGAGATGAGGCATTTGGAGTTGAGCAACAAGGCTCTGAACGTGCAATAGGCTTTCAGCGTAGACTTCTCTTTTCGTTCATTCATTGGTCATTCTTAGGACAAGTAGTGATTGAGTGCTGCCGTGCTGAGAACCGAGGCACAGCGGTGAGTGGGAAAGCATGATCCTTACCTTCTAACCATGTTTCCTTTTTAAGTTACCTGTGGATTTTATTTATTCATGATACCATGTGCCCCAAATCTTCCCTTGATCATCGATCATGTAAAATGTCTAGTTGAAAAATTTTTTGTTGTTGTTCAACTGTTGTTGAAAATACACCCCGCAAAACATACGCCAATTCAGTAGTTCCTACATGTACAATTCAGTGACTTTGATAACATTCTTCAAGTTCTGGAAGCATTCCCACCCTCCTTTCTCCAAATTGTCCCTCGCTGGCTTATATGAACTCATAGTCCCTAAGCCTCCTATCCAACCTTTCAAATTGCTGTGGTCAATTTCCCCTCATTCACACAGTTCTTTAAAAGAGCACGATGCTCAAGGCAGACACTTCACTAATTAAGCTAAACTGTGGTTTGTTTTAAACAAAACTTCAGGGTATTGTTTCTGATTTAACATTCAAAGATCATTTTATGCATTCATCCAGCCTCAGTGGCTCCAGTAACTCTGAATTCCATGAGAATTTAAAATTTGCTACCATAAAAATGTCTGATTTTCAATGTGCTTCACATAGACTGATCAGTTGCTATTTCAATAACAGGTATTAAGAGTTCATCTCCTAGCAAAATGTTTCAGCAATGAAACTAATACCTATGTGAATAGCCAGTTTCGCAATGTGTTCGCTATGAGGGCTTGTTATACACTGGGGGTAGAGGTCTGTAGGCCCCATTTGAATGAAGGCTCTTTGTCTAGAATAGAGTGGGTCTCAGGGCAACAAGCCATATAGCTGCTTTATTCTTAATTCTTAATTCCTTAATTCTTGGAAATGGAAATCACCCATCTAGAAGAAAGAACAATTCTGGACTTCTCTCCAGAGACTGAACTCTGTACTAAAATGTCTCATGTAGATTAAACATAAAGCAAAAGCCATGTGTGGAGCCCCAACTATGAACTTCTACTGCTACTCTTTGTCCTGCAATGATTGTAGCTAAATTAAAAATAACCTGAAAGAAGTAAGTCGAAGAATGATTGCTTTTTTTTTCCGTAAATAATAGAATGATTCTTTTTTTTAGTAACATTTATGCGTGTTTTGGGTTACTTACACAGCAGTTCTCATTAAAGGATTTCTGCAGACATTGTTCAGTGACATTGGTTATATGATTTTTCAGTGCAGGAACATTCTCGTTGCCTGAGTTTTTGGTTGCTCCATCTCCATTAAGCTAGTGTCCCTGCCCCCTTGCAGTCACACCTATTTTTCTTTTAAAGTAATTACTGGCTGATTGGTGTCTTAGTGATGTGCACTGTTTTTTTAAAGGGATGGTTGGATTCTGAGAATTTTCAGTAAAGACTATACCATTAGTCTGCAGCTCGGGCAGTAAGCTCAAGGGATTTGATGGAAGCAAAGGGTGTCAGGTCTTACTTCTCAGTCCTCCGTGCCTCGAGTAGTACTTGACTTGGGGCAGTAAGCTATTTCTGCTGGCCAGTCCTGGCTTCATGCTTCCCAGTGGGAGATTCCTCTTTATGCTCCAAACCCCTTCCAGGGCCACTGTCAATATTTTCCAAAAGCAAGATGATGATGATTAGCATATTTTGTATTTAGCACAACAGCATTTCATTGATGATTATGTTTTCAATCGTTTGGGAAGGGTTTATTTGGTTGGATCAATAAGCTACCTAAAGTCTTTACATCTGTCCCCATCCTTTCTCCCAGATGATGTGTTCAGAATTTCTCTCTGTGCATATTCGACGTCCACAGTGCTATTAGATAAACAAACTTACCCCAAATAAAGATGGACGAATAGTCTATCTAGAAACATACATAACAAAGCACAGAGGGCTCAGGAACAATAATGGGTCACAGGCTCCATCAGTCAGCCTTCCCTGATTCTGATTCTTAGAAGGGCGATTGGTACCAAAGATAAGAAACAAGAATGACTTTATTCAGTGGGGCCTATGTTATTTAATTCACCCTTTAACGAAACAACAAAAACACTGGATCCCGCATGTATAACACCATAGCTTAATATTCGGAAAATTATGTCTGCACATACACACACTGTAGCTTGAAAGTTCTTGTATCCTGGTTGCTCAATCAATGTTGGTTTGGTAATGATTTGCACGGGGCTATCTCCCCTGTATCCTAAAATCACATTTAGCTTTTGAAAGGCAGCCACCAAGCAGTTGGTGAAATTTGACGTACCAACTGTGATCCAGACCAAAAGCAGCACTGGAGCTGTGGCCTGGTGTGTTGCCCCCACTCTTGAGACTGCACTTTTAAAAAAAGTGTTTTGTTTTGCTGATAAAAGTATTCCCGACCAAATATACACCATTTCCACAATTTCTACATGAGCAATTTAGCGACATTGATCTCATTCTAAGAGGTGTGCTCCAGTTCTTGCCTTCCTTCCCCATCTTTCCATCACTATTCCGATGCCTTCCAAGCCATTGTAATCACGTCATTTTGATTTTACACCAACCATTCTTTCAAAGTGCCCAATTCCCCAAACAGGTGCACTGCACCATGGTTTTTGTTTGTTTGTTTGTTTCATTTAATTGTTGGTTCAAGGAAACTTCAGGGGATAGTTGAGATGTAAAGTTGAAAATTCAGCTCATCCAGCCTCAACAGCTTCAGAAAAACTGGATGCCATTGAGCTGAAGCTGTAAATGTTAATGCCAAATCTTGTCCGTGGCCCCACGGCTGACATGCGGCTGCTCCAGAAGCACAGACTGTGGGTTCACGTGAGATCTGGGTGTCTGCTCCACGACCACCAGCTGTAGGGCTCGACAAGTTCACCTACGGTGTCTCGATTTTCTCATCTTTGATAAGAGAGATAATAATATCCAGCTTAAAGGATTAGGTGCCAATGGATAACAAGCTTGGCTACCAACAAGGCTGGCAGTTTGAGTCTACCCAGCAGCCCCTCAGGAGAAAGGCCTGGTGCTACACTTGGGGAAGCAGCCATGGAGAGCCCTGTGAGCATGTGCCTCGATACACACGGGGCTGCCGTGAGTAGGAGCTGACCCATCGGCAACTGGGTTCGTTTTGTGTATTTTAAGGGTTATGGTAGGGTCTGGATGAAATGGGTATAAAGCGCTTTTCACTCAATAAATAAATGAAAGCTGTTCTTTTTCTTTTTTAAGGGACAATGGTTCTCTTGTCCAAGAATGGATTCAGATTAAATTTTTAGTAGCACAGTCACTCGACTAACCCACAAAACTAAATGTCAATACCTGCCTCTCCCCTCTCCTGAGTGGAGGAGCTAACGCTATCTGTCAAGAATCGTTTCTTCTGTTCTCTTAGAAGGCCTTCCAGGAAGACTTCACAATCTCCTTCTGTGAAGACCTTTAAAAGGTTACGCTGTTTCTCCTATCTAACCTAAATCTCCTCGCCGTTGAAGACAGTTTCCTCTTCTGTCCTGAGTGGAGACAGGGCAGGGGTCATCTGCAGCCTCTCGGTCACAGATCCTTCCCTTTAGCAGCCCACAAACACGGAACATGGCCCCCAATGTAGCCATAGAGCATGACTCCTTGTAAGCGGCCAAAGATATAGATTTAGATTTGTTTCATGCTAAGGGAAGTTCTAGTCAACGGAGGCGGTTTAAAACCAGGAGGCAGAGTATGTAAACAAACCATATCAAATGATGTAGAAGAACCCTATGCGTGTTATCTGTTTTATTTATTTTGTATTCATGTCCTTTATCTGTGCTCATTCAAATACAATTGCAGAAATAGCTAGAACTTCGCCACTAGTAAGGAAGATAATGAATATAAACGTAAGGGCTCAGAAATGCGAGGAGGGAGGGGAACAAGACGAAATAGAGTTACGCGTTACTGTGCTGCGGGAGGAGTCAGCTGGGAAGTACTGCTGCTTTGTTTGGACAGATGTCTGGGTGAAGAAGTGTGGGAGGCGATGCATTCGACTAGAGCATAGGTTCTCATACTTTCAGACACAAGCTCCCCCTGGCTGCTGCACACTTGTGGATTATAGCCCACAATGCAGGGTGACATGTAGGTGTCTGATTTTGCAGCCTCTCTGTGTATCTTTCCAGTGCCCCCACACACCGCCACCATGGGATGGGTACTGCCTACTTTGGGAAATGCTTAAATCCAAAAAGCCAAACTCCCTGCCATCCAGTTGATGCCAACTCACAGTAAACCCTACAGAAGCAGGGTTTCTTAGACTGTAAGTCTTTATGGGAGTAAAACACCTCCTCTTTGTCCCACGAAGCGGCAGTTAGTTTTGAACTTCAGGGCTTATGGTTCACAGCCCAACACACAACCACTGCACCACTAGGGCTGCAAGGAAGAGGTTTGTGGAGGCTGACGGATGCCCTCTGAGGCAGCAGCTCCTTTGAACAACAACCTAACTCTTTTCAACCAGGATAGCGCATCCCAGGAGGGAGGAAGAAAGGCCCGGAGGGTGGAGACAGGGACCTAAGTGTTAGCAATGCCCTTTCCTGAGAAAAAGGCGGAAGAACAAGCGCTTGGAAAGGAATCCAAATCCTTTCCCTGGGGCTCAGAATCGTCCAGAGAGCTATCTGTCTCCTCTCTTCCCTTCTCATTCCTTAATCTTTCTCCCACTCAGAGGTCTTTTACAGTATAATGTTACCCTGCTCTCGTTTAAAAACCAGTTTTATTGGCACATAATCCATATATAGCAGAATGTGTTTGTAGTTTAATCATATCAAGAAGAGCTGTGTAATCATGACCACAATTTTTAACATGTTCTTCTTTATTGTACTCATTGTTATTAGCTCCCCATGTCCCCAACTCCCTGCCATATCCCCAAGGAACCATTAATCTGGGATTTAGTTATCCTGGATTTTATATACAGAAAAGCATACAAAACAACAACAAAACTATCAACAATACTAAAGTAAAATGGAAAATCCTCAACTGAAAAGAAAGTAGAAAATATTAAAAAACATCACATTTAAAATGAGTCAAAAGGGAGATGTTAAATGTTAATGAGCTGTTAAAAATTGGTAAGCAGTTTTATGGGCACATAATCCACCTATCATACAATTAATTACTTCAATAATATCAAAAAGAGCTGCATAATCATCACCACAATCAATTTTAGAATGTTTTCTTCCTCCTTGTACTGTTATTAGCTTCCCAACCTCTCCTGCCATACCCCCAAGACACCAGTAACCCACTCACTTACTGTCCCTATAGACCCACACATCCTCAATTTCCTATATCAGAAAACATGAAACAAAGAAACAGA